CCCCAAAACCCCAAAACCCCTCTAATCGTTTTTATATTAAATTTGTGGGGTAAAATTAATTAATTTATATTTTAAAATGTAGTTGAAATACTTCAATAAAATGAGAGAAAAGGCAAAAAAAGAAAGCTTAGATATACTAGATCTGTTTAATATCCATATAAAGTGAAGAAAATAGCTAATAAAAGAGTAGGCATAATAGTTAAAACAGAGATCAAAGAGTAAACCACCAGAAAGAGATTTCAAAAATTAAGGAAAATTTATTACTTAATCAGCCACAATAATTCAAAACACTCCAATAAGAATAAATAAAGTAAATCAAATCTCCAATGAGTAAAAGGTTGAAGGCAAAATTTAGAAAAATCTCGGAGATTAAAAAAGCTTAAATCAGTCAGTTGATGATGTTAATGAAATTCAATACGGGCAAGATAAAACTAAATAGAGTTAGTATCATTATTGGTGGAAGGATAAGAAAGATCTGCCTCCAGGAGTAGAATTCAAGCCTACTAAAATAGAAGATCCAGAACTATTACAGAAAATGAAAACAGAAATAGCAAATAAAGGAAGTTCAAAGGAAGCATCTAGTGCTTGGAATAGAGCAGGTACATGGGAGGATAAAACCTTAAAGAAACCTTAACTTTAAAAAATTCTAGAATCCCTTTTTATCAATGCTAATTTGGATTCTCCCTTGGATGACTCTATAGTGTTTGGTATAACAGTTACAGAGGGGGAAGCATCAATCATAATGGTAAGAGGGAAAGTGAAAGTTGGGTATGAATTCTCTGTAGAGGTAATTCTTTAAAATACATTACCCTCGGATAATTAGCAAAACTAATTTAAGATACTATTAAATGAAATTACTGATGATGAGGAAGATTGTGTTTCTTATAATGTGATTTAAATCAAAGGATAAAATGCATTAGATTATCTTTAGAAAATTCATAAAGCAAAGTCTAATTTAGTAAAGCAAATAAAGGATTCACTTGTGAAACATATTTAATCTAGGAATTGAGTTAATTTATTGAGACATTATTTAGGGATTTAATTAATTTCATCAATATTTTTAATAATTACAAAATTTAAAAATGAAAATACTCCAGATTGGTGTCGGCCACTCTAGACGTGACTACTACAGTGGCAGATACGAGGTCAGAGATTATATCTACTCTATTGTTTCAACTATAATTCTACTTGCAATACTTTATCCATTCTGTGTCTATTTCTCAATAGATGTCGAATTTCTATATGACACTAACAGTGAGTTTTTCAGGACATCTTTCTACAGATACAATGTGAACACTTAGTATATCAGTCTTGGAAATCTTTTTTATTAGACAATAGTATATGCTTTCGGTTGGCTGTTTATCAGAAGAGTCAATTAAAGAGACATGAGACCTTTTTCAGAGCTACTAAAAAAGCATGGTTCTTATGACTCCTTTTTCAAATTACTGGGCTATTCTGTTGTTTTCTTTTTGACTAGCGGAGTAGTGATATTAGGTCACAGATATGACTATTCGGGATATTGTGCTGATGATCATGAAATTCCAGTAGCTCATACAATTACTAAATTGAATGATGTAGGCTGCAGATTGCTCACAGAACAAGAAGTTATTTAATAGAATTTTTATACTTGGACTATTGCCACTGTTGTGGGTTTACAATTTACTCATCTTTCAAGAAGCAAACTTTTTGGAGATTTTGACTTTGAGGGTAATTTCCTGTCTTATTGGCCTCTTAGAAACTACTTTATATTAGTAGCAGTTGTAGGTTTCTCCTTGTACGTGCTTGTTGTCCTCAATGATCTTTACATATTTGTGCATGCTTTCTACTTCTATACAGCAATATTCGTTGCATCACTTGCAATATTATTTGCTCTGATATAATTTGTGTTTGGTATCGATAGGTTTCACTTGCATCATTATGTTATAGCTTAGTACATCCTTGTTTTCAGTTGCTTTTAAACTCCACTTATTACTTGGATCAATGGTTATGTTACTGGAATGATGATTGATGGAGGTGCATCTTTTGATTGGGATCCTCTGTTTGAAGATCCACAAGATATGAACAGATACAAGGATAAAACTCTAAGGTTATCTCAGCCTCACCCTCAACTTAATTCTGCAAATCCTTCTTTAGTGCAAAGTTCTTAAATTTATGATTCCCTCAATATAGTAATTGTTTGATTTCGAATAGTATATTTATTATTAATTATTATTTCACTGATATTAAGAATGAATATTTAGAGATGGGGTTTTGGGGTTTTGGGGGCCATGATGTTAGATA